CAACCAATCAAAGCATCTCGTAATAAGGTCCCTTTGATCAAGACCAACCCTCAAAATTGCTGCAATCAGGCCACGTGGGATGCCGGGGGGGATGCTCTTTTCCAAGTTGCACCCCCCCCTTCCTGAGGTTTCAATTCCCGTTTTTTGCAAAATGAAGAGGGCTTGCCGATGATCCAGGGAGCCTCCCTCCCAGCGTTTAAAAATCAGCCAACCCTGGATAGAAATGTGGTCGTGTGAAAATGGGAATGGAATGCTGCTGAAGCTGGCTGATCTAGAGGCTGGAGCAGATTCTGGGAGTTGAAGTCCACACATCTTAAAGTTGCTAAGGTATAATACGGACTTTTGGCATGGCTGAATGCATTACAGTACATGGATCCTGCCGCTGTAGTTTGTAAGCCAGAGTTAATGGCTTAGGCCACAGCTGCAAAAAAGCAGAGGAATTAACAGTGCTCCTTCCCCCTTTGGCTAACCCATTAGCCCTGCTACTGAGTTCATCAGCTTGGTCGCTTGCCCAATCCATCATCTGTAATTTATCTTTTTCTTTTTTTCTTTTTAAGGTAATTCCAAGTCATTGTAACCCTTCAGCACTTTCCAAAATATTTGCCCTGCCATATCCAAATTATGAGAAATCTTCACACTGGCTCAATATCTCCCATTTGGTATAATGGATAAGACCTCCTTTTGCTCTGCTGGACTGTTGGCATTTTTTAAAAACAAACATAATTTCAACAACATTGAATTCTGTGTTAATTGGTTTTACAACAGATCAGCACTGTCATTAGCGCTCATTACATTTGCTTATTCACAGCTAACTGGAAGCGGTGCAAAATGTGTGGGTTTTTTCCCACTATATTACACAAATGGCTAGACAAAACTAATGCAGAGTTATTTGTAATTAACAAACATTTATTCAGATTGTCAACTGATATCTCTTCCAATATTCAGCATCTCCTCCCTCCTTTTGCAAATTCTGTATATAAAATTGATTGTTTACTATCCATTTCAAGCAACACTTTGGTGAAAACAGAAATAAAAATTAAAGATACATGGAAATAATGTTTAAAGGCTTTTATTAACATCAAAGAAATTACTCTTTATTTGATCATTCAGAAGGCAAATTATGGGGGAATTTTTTTAGACAGTTCAAGGTAACAGGTATTTCAATATAATAATTATTCCATAGCCTTTTTGGCAAATTGTAAAAAGCAGAGAACAATGTAATCTATTCACAATGATCTATTAAAAGCATGCTAAACCATTTTAGAGTTTGTTTTTGGTTTAACCTCATATTTGCTTTTAGCTATAAAGGCTGGAAAAACATGGTTCATGCTACATCATGTGATTACTAACCAAATGTGGTTTAGCCACAAAACTGTAATTAAAATAAACTGGTCTTGTGCACTGTAAATTCAACCTATAACAAGCCAAGATATAATTTGCTTGGATTTGTTGAGTATGATGTGGATCCACAGCATTGTTAATAAATCATGGCCAACCAACCCATTTACAATGTGTAATCCAATCCCTGGAGTTTCATTGCTACTCTTAGAAAGGGTATTTTGCTTTTTGAAAAGCTACTATTTTATTATGAATCAGCCATTTCTAGTTTCCAGTTATTTATCAGCAGTAACCAAATTCACAAATTTAATGAATGGCCTTAGAAACAACATTCTGCCCAATCTGTAATAAAGATCCTTGTAAAGTTTAGGGACTATGGCTGTATTCACACAACTAAGCCAAAATATGGTTTATTGCATTTTTGGTATCTAGTCAATTAAAATGTATTAAAATCATGATTAAGACACCACAGCTCAGTGTGTTGAATTAATGTGAGGAAGCCCAGATGATTCCTCCCTTTCACTTTGATTCCTCCCTTTCACAGAGAAAGTCTATACTGTAGAAAAGATTGGGTTTTTTTAAAGGTAGCGTGCAAATAAACACCCAACAACATAGCAAGGTTTGAGATTCAGAATACAGGTTGAGTGTCCTCTGCCAAGAAAAGTCAATTGTAACATGGGGAAAAGAACACAAATCATAGAAACTGAGTTTTGTAACATGATTTATTGTAACTTTTTTTAAGTCTCCTGCTAGCTTGAATTACATTCTCACTACTTGGAAGCCACACAAAATATATTTCAGGACACTAGTCCTATTGGAGGAGGGCAAGGAAGCACTCCTATCCTTAGGATGGAGGAAACCATGTATTTAGGAGATTGAGTCTGCAGCCAAAAATCTCAAAAACGTTACAAAGGGGGCGGTCAGGTCAATATTGTTTGAAATACAATAGAGCAGTGTTTTTCAACCTTGGCAACTTGAAGAGGTGTGGACTTCAACTCCCAGAATTCCCCAGCCAGCCATG